CCCCCCCCCCATCACCGGGGTGACTCATCATCTGCCCACAGACTCATACAGAGCACGAACCGGGCACCACAGACATGAGGTCTTTTGTATGAATCCCACTGTGTCATGCCCCCTGCTGGATTTCTCACTTCCTACAAGGTTTCTGTTTGTAGAATCTGCAGGGAAGGTTGGAAAGGGGAAAAAGGTTCAGACACAAGCATGGCCTCTCCCGCTAAGAGGACGAAGGAGGACGAGCTGGAACCACAGGACTGTGCGTGTGGTGGGTGTGTGCACGAGCTGCGTGACCCTCGACCGTGGCACTGCCCACGTGTTCCCGGGATGACAAGTGGCGACCTCGTGTGCATGTGGCCGCATGCCGCTCGCTCAAGCGTGTGTATCGGTCATTGCCAGTGACGTGTAACCCACCCACCCCAGGGGCCACCCTTCTGCGTGGACACTCATTGGTGTCTGCTGGAACGTGTTCCTGGTGCTGTGCGCCCGCCATGCCCCCAGTCAGAATGTCTTCCTCCAGAAGAAACCAGCCGTGGTCACTTGTCCAGCCCTTGGCAAGCCCTGTCTGTCTGGACTTGCATGTCCTAGACAGTTCGCATGAATGGAACCCTACAGCACGTGGCCTTTTCTCTCGGCTTCTCCCCCTTACGTGCATTTTCAGGGTTCACCCGTGCTATAGCGTGTGCTCTATTCATGGCTGCGTAGTAAGTCCATTGTGTAGGTGGAGCAGCCTTGTTGTCTGTCCCTCAGTTGGTTGACATTCAGGTTGTTTCCACTGTTCGGCTGTTGTGAATGATGCTGCCGTGGACACACGTGTGTATACGTGCTTATGTGGACCTGCGCTTTCGCTTCTCTTGGGTGCAAAACCAGGGTGGGATCTCTGCGTCGCTTGGGGACTCCACCTTCACCCTCCTGGGGAAGTGGAGGACTGTCCCCTCCACTATCCCGCCATGATGGTGAGGCCCCAGCCCCCTGCACCTGCCTCGGTGGCGGGGGGGGGGGGGGGGGGGGGGGCGGCGTGAAGTGCGGTGTCCTTGTGGTTCTGATTTGTACCTCACACCCACTCGTGATGGTGAATGTCCAATGTGCTCTGTTGCCTCCCAGCTTGTCTGAATAGCCGTTCAGCGATGTGAACGGACTGGATGTTGGATCTTTGGTGAATTTAACCGTTTCAGAGTCAGCTGCTTTATCGAGGTCAGAAGTGGACGACGGAGGGTTTGCTGTGTTGCCATAAGCTTTCTGTCCACCGAGTCATGTCTACACGTGTTCGGGATTTAACACCCTTTCTGTGTAAGAGAATACGTTCACACAACAACCAGCATCGTAAGAGCCCATTAATGACACACAGTCTGCTGGAATAAACTGCACCATCTGCCTGCATCTTTCCAGACTGGACGTAAATGTACTGCACATGTTAGTGAAACGGTCCAATTTGTCTGCAGTGTTTTCTGTGCCGTGGAACAAAGGTGGGACTTTTTATTCCCAGCTCAGTGGGACAGAAGCGCTGAGCCCTCCGGGGCATGTGACCCACAGGGCACTGTGCCATCACCTCAGAGGATGCATCGTTCACACCCGGATCTGCCGGTGGGTACGCAGGTTGAGAGAGGCGAGCCCCATGGCATGCGGGGGTTCTGCTCTCCGGTCTTGCTCGCTGCTGAAGAGGCTTCCTTGTTTGTGGTTCCTCCTGGTGCCTCGTTTCTGGAACAGCATGCCCACCTGGAGCAGCCTGCACCCAACAGTTTCACCGAGCCCCCTGCCCCCTGCCCCCTGTCCCCTGTTGTAGTTTTAGGCTTTTGCCCCCTTGTTCCTGTAGGTGACAATCTCATTCATGTGGAAATAGGAAGAGACTCCTCCCCCCTCTGACCCGCCAGGCGGGGGGGGGGGGGGGGGGGGGGGGGGGGTACTCCGTGCTCCCGGTGAATACAGCACAGGGGTGGGGTTTGCCTCTTGGAGGCACGAGGGCGCTGGGGCCTGCTGCACAGGTCAGGTGCACACTTTAGAGTGGGCTTGGTGCTGGCCTTTGTCTGCGTGCAGGTGCCCCCTGTGCAGCCAGGGCGCTGACAAGGAACGATCAGTGTTGGAGCCTGTACTGCTGCTGAGTGTCCCTGGCCATCTCCAGGGCTCCAGGGTTCATGTCACAGAGGGCGTCCCATCCAAGACGAGTCCCTGGAAAGAGAGGCTGGCGTGTCTGTCTTCCTGCCCTCGGGAGGTTTTGTGACAACCCACACCTTCATTCTCAGGGCTCCCAGTGACAGAATTGCCTTTTTGTGTTCAGCAGAGTTGCAGAACAGACCAGGTGATGCATACTTGGTTCAAGACCTACGAGGGGCGCCAAGGTGGCTCAGTCAGTTAGGCAAACAACTTCAGCTCAGGTCACGTTCTCACGGTTCGTGAGTTCAAGCCCTGTGTCAGACGCTGCTGTCAGCACAGAGCCCACTGTGGATCCTGTGTCTCCTTCTCTCTCTGTCCCTCCCCCTCAAAAATAAACATACATTAAAAAAAAGAAATTGTGTAATTGGGGCTAATAGGTACTAAGTGTGCAGAGTAGCAGAGGATTGCTGACAAAGCGGACACAGAAATGTTGAATCACACGTCCATAGTCACGGGGCCGGTCAGCTGCAGGGCACATGCATGATGTGGGCGTGATCGTGAACCGCTTTCTCCGGGGGCATCTTGTTGGACGTGTTGTCTATATGTTTTGCACACCTGGTCTTAGCTTCCTCAGAATTGGACATTTTTGCAGAGAACAGCACGCGGAACTCACCTGGGTCTTGGTCTGAACCCCAAGACGCTTCCTGCGTGTCAGGGCCACACACGAGACCCCTTGTAAGCGCCGTTCCCTGGTGTCCCTCCTTGGGCGCTATTACACTGACCTCTTGGTGAGCAGAGTCAGCCAGAAGCAGAACGTCACCATGGCCTTTCTGCCCACCGACTCGTAGTCTATTCGTAGAAGCAGCAGGTCTGGCCGAAGCTTGTGGGTCATTGCTTCTTTTTGTTCCTTGGGGAACAGCATGAAGGTAGCTTCCTTACGCACAGCCTAGTTTTCATCCAGTAAGTACGTGGCTCGCTCCCAAACGGGTTTTTTGTTGCAGTGACATAGGCAAACCCCAGTGCTTGTTGGTGTTCAGTCACTTTTCTGGGCTGGTCTTGTCCCGTAGGCGGACATAGTGTCCCGACGTGCAGTAGGTAAAGTCGTGGGCTGGACGCGGCCAGGAGGCCCCCCTCCACGCACCGCAGACACGTCCCCTGTCTGGGAGGATCGGGGCTTCTAGAGTCGGTGTTGTGGCTGAAGCCTAGCGGCTGGCTTTGAAGTAGGAGCAGGGCCCCCGGGGTTCTCATTTTTGTGTTACAAGTCATGTTTTAATGCTTTTCTTTCCTTTCCGGTTTCTCTATTACGTGTTCCTTTTAGCGTAAGTTCTGGAATCCTTGGGAATGAGAAGCATCCGCGGCTGTGTCTCGAGCATGAAGGGATGTCCGGGACTTAGATTTGTATGTAAAGCTCTTACGCCGCTGTGTCAGCACCTGTTACTGGTGGCCTCACCTGGACGGGGAAGCAGCGGAAAAGGCTGTGGCGGCGGGGACGCGGCCTGGCCCTTGCATCGTGGGCTCCTGGGGCACCACATCCAAGTTCCTGCCAGTTTGGGGGCCCAGCCCGTTCCCTCCGGTGATCTTGCACCATTTCCCATGTCCCTGCCGCATGTCTCTGGAAACGGGTGGAGTTCTGGAGACCGAGTCGGTCTTTGCCCTCAGTCCGCGTGGACATCCGGCAAAGCCAGGCCCTAGAGAAGGCACGGAGGGAAAGTGCGTGCGGGCAGCTACCGTGGACCCCGCGGTGCTGGGGACACATCTGTAGACTTCTGACCCCTCGAAGCCGGGAGGTAGGCCCGCGCCATGCCATGCAAGCAATAAGAGCAAAACAGTGTGACGTGAGGCTGTCCTCGCCTCAGCCCACAGGGACACTGCTGGCCTGTGTGACCCCGTCCACCTGGCTCCACAAGCGAGGGTGGGCGCCGCGCCGGGTGGAACACTCTGGCTCCCCACAGCCATGCGGTTCTCTTCCCGCTCCTGTTCTCCGTTTCCCGCTTTCGTTCCTCGTCAGCCACCATGAGTGAGGGGCTGTCACTGTCCTCAGGGGCCGTGAGGCTGCCTGAGGCCAATGTCTCAGTGACAGCTGAGTCGGAGCTGTGACCTGACCCACCTCTCTTCCTGTCCCGTCACCCTGACCTTCTGCAGTGCTGGTGTTCCCACCTCCTCCCCCCCATGACTCACTGTACCCCAACAGGCTGACGGAGTGTGAGGCCAGGACCTGGGGCTGGGCTGCTGGTCTGGGGGTCCCAGGACCTGGGGCTGGGCTGCCAGTCTGGGGTCCCAGGACCCGGGGCTGGGCTGCCGGTCTGGGGGTTCCGGGACCTGGGGCTGGGCTGCCGGTCTAGCAGGACCAGGACCTGGGTCTGGGCTGTTGTATGGAGGGGGCCAGACCCCGGGCTGGGCTGCTGTAATGGGGGGGGGG